AACAACCATAATATTAATATACAAGACAATAAATACAACAATTCATGAGTTTTTTTTCCTCACTATTGTGTATATCTCTATATTTGCCACCATTTCCTCCTTTCCATGGTCTTGACAAGCTCATTTGCCAATGATGCAAAATTCTCAGCTCCGTTTTGCAATTCCGCGGTGCGTTGGCTTATTCTCTGAATCAAATTCATCAGTAAAAAAATGCAGTTTAGCACGATTCAAACGCGCGAGTTTGATGACTTTATGTGAATTTTTTTTTAAAGTAGTAATGTATTAATTTTTTTTTACCAAACAAATTAACATTTCAAAAAAAATACCAAAATGGCAATGTTTGAAATTAGGCTAACAGACGTTCGCCAATTGGTTTGGCGAATTAGGCTAACAGCATCACAAGTAATTCGCCATTTGGTTTGGCGAAAGGGAGTATTTTGTGGGATTTCGCCAATTGAATTGGCGAATGAGAGTTATTTTAGGGTTTGTTGCATTTTCAATTTCCTTTTAATTATTATATAACATATTTTCGTTTTCATATTTTAAAATTTAATTGTTTTTTAATTTTAATTTTAATTTACTTTTTTGATTTAAGTTATTATTATTATTAACCATAAAAAATATAAATTTATAATCTAATTAATATTTATATAATTAGAATTTTTTTTTAAAGTAGCAATGTATTAATTTTTATTTACCAAACAAATTAACATTTCAAAAAAAATACCAAAATGACATATTTTCGTTTTAATATTAATATTAATTTATAATATAAATTTTTAATGTCATCTATAATATTAAAAAAATTAAGTTTAAAAGTTTAAATTATTTTATAAAATTATAAATTTAAAGTAAATTGGGTTGCTTGTTAAATCGCCCAGCTAGGGTTTTAAACTTTCTATATAAATTAACTCTGCTTGTAATAGAAGGAAATTTGCAGTTACCTCTGCCTGTAATAGCATGAAATTTGATTTTAATCAAATGAAAGTTACTTTTGATTTAAATGGACACGTTTACAAATGAAACTATGATCTGCTGCTCGGACCAACGTTTGGACACGTCGTACGATTGTGTCCTGGTTGCCGACACGAACTACACAATCTCACTAGCTTATCCGAGGTATCCATCTCGGTTCGTATGCGCGTGCTGTTAGGCCGACCCTTCTTTTTTCTGCGCATCAAGTCATTATGCCAAACAATTTGGCCTTCGTATTCGGGCCAATAATCCTCCTTTGCCAACACCTGAAAACTGCATGAGTAGACATTGCATAGACTTATGACTTGGTGAACTGAAGAAAGAAGGTTGGTTGGGTCCTGGCGCGCCTTCGAACAAGCTGCTATGACATGAGAGCAAGGCATTCGGAATGCTTGAAACTTTCCACAATCACACCAGCTCTTATCTAATTCAACACGATAACATCCCCTGGGCCTTCCTTCATTGTGATCTATAGCCTCGGCAACACTGAACCAACCAGCTGTACGGTCAAATATTGTGACCACGTGGGTGTTGGCTTTGGCAGCTTCGTCTTTCATGAATTTCATTGCAGTGTCACTGTACAGCTGACCCGATTGTAATACCGAACCCCACTTCGCACGCCTGCTATCAAAAAGTGATCCCATCCTAAAATAGGTTGCCTTTACCAACGCAGTTATTGGGAGGTTTCGAATTCCCTTGAAAACAGAATTCATTGACTCGACGAGGTTGGTTGTCATGTGGCCCCATCGCACCCCATTGTCGTATGCTCGCGTCCATTTCTCCCTATCAATGCCGTCAATCCATCTTAATGCATCTGTGTTGTTCAGTCTAATCTCGTCACGGTAGTATCTGAATGTTGGTTCAGTTAGTGCATACCCTGCGTTCACAACCTTCTTCCGCAGCGTCCTGTCTTTGATCTCCCTCATGAAATTTTGGGCAATATGCCTTATGCAGTAGACGTGGGTCGATGGAGGATCCTGCCAACCGTTGTCATGGTTGTTGTAAGCACTCTCGATGGATGGGTGTCGATCGGAGATCAAACATAAGTTAGGTTGGGGAGACACGTATGACCGTAGGTTTTTTAAGAAAAAACTCCAACCCCCAGCAGTCTCCCCTTCAACTATGGTGTCTGAATAACGGGGTGTAACAATGTTTTAGTGTTTGAGTGTTTTAGTGTTTGAGTGTGTTTGATAAAGGCTTTATAAAATGGCCTTATTGCTTCTGAATGTTTGAGTGTTTGAGGGTGTTTGATAAAGGCTTTATATAATGACCTTAGTGCTTCTGAATGTTTGAGTCTTTGAGTGTGTTTGATAAAGGCTTTATAAAATGGGCTTAGTGCTTCTGGATGTTTGAGTCTTTGAGTGTGTTTGATAAAGGCTTTATAAAATGGGCTTAGTGTTTTTACATGTATCAATAAAGTTCTGCCTTTCATTTACCACGCATGCTCCTTAATCAATAACGTGAACCACTGAGTTGATATGAATTGAAACTGCAAAGTTCTGCATTTACATGTGATGTGCAAGTCAGGAATCTATGTCTGCCTTACATTTATGGCGCATGCTCCATAATCAATAACGTGAACCACAGACTTGATATGAAGTGACAATGCAAACTTCTGCATTTACATGTGATGTTCATTTATCACGCATGCTCCATAATATGAATAAAGTATACTATGGAAAATAGTATGATGACATAAATAATACTACACTGAAGTATAATATGCAAAATCGTATGATGAAATAAAATAGTATGATGAAATAAATAATACTACACTGATGAAACAAATCACATTACGATGAATAAAAATATTATACAAAATGATGAATAAATAATCACACTATGCAATGAATGAACCACTGTATGATTAGACGCTACACTGAAGGAATCTCCTTTTTTCACATGTGAACTGCATCCCTACATTGACCATGCAGGCCTACGAGCATCCGCTTTCACAGATTAGACTGGACACTGCATTACAATAAATGTCGTGTAGCCTGTTTGATTAGACGCTACACTAAAGGAATCTGCACTCACACCACACATATGTCATGCCAAGTGCTCAGCATGCACCCACACAACACATTTGTCACGCCAAGTGCTCAGCATGCACTCACACAACACATTTGTCATGCCAAGTGCTCAGCATGCACCAAAGTGATCGGGTCAAACTCCAATTTGGGATGCATCAAGATATTCCAGATGCTCCCGTAGACTTGGGGAAGTGGCATCAAAAACGGGTGGACGCACAGTGGATGATTGGTGATTGGAAGGAGTTTGCAAAGGAGTTGCGTGTACTTTGGAAAAGAAGAAGGCAATACGTCTTAACCGACAGTATTGTGCACGGGGCTAGGCCAAGTCTTCAATATATGACTTGGTTTAGTTCTGTCACGACAACCCAGCCTTTCCTGTCCCAGCCAACCTACTTGTCCGATCCAAGGGAACGCGGTTCTTCATCATACCCACAAATACCAACAGACACCCCCCATCAACAACAACCACCGTACGAAGACCATCAACAACAACCACCATACGAAGACACCCCCCACTCCATGCCAACATATACCCCCTATCAACAACAACCACCTTACATGCCACCAATCCAATCTCAGTCTCAACCAACTCACCAGTACAGCCCTGATATGTCTTTTGATCCTACCCCTGCCACCTATATCCCGGAAAACTCATTCGACCCTACCCCCTCCAACTACACCTCCAACCACCCACTATTTAACTACCACACACCACAACAACCAACACACCTAGACCAACCCAACTCCATGTACACTTTCGGACAACCATATCGTCCATACTCCACCCACCCTCCCCGACAATCGTACCAAAACATGGGCATTGCCCTTGACTACGGAAGTGCATGTGACATGGGACCTCCCGGCTATTGGGGTCAAATGATACAAGATCTAGCTGATACGCCGGGGCCGTCCCAACAGAACCCTCCACCACAACTCAACACACAACATCCTGACACACCACAACAACATCGTCGAAGACCTCGTCGCAACACGCGTCCCCCACAGTGTGGCACCGGTGGTCACTTGGATAGAGCCGATCATTAGGGGTTTTTTTTTGTAATTTTCATTATATTTATATTTTTGTTCGTGTATTTTTAATTACATTATAAATTAATATAATTTTATTTTATTATCACTTTATGTTTACGAATATATTTTAATTATATTAATATTCATTACATTATAAATTAATATATTTTATGGTTAATAATAATAATAATAATTAAAATTAAAAAACAATTAAATTTTAAAATATGAAAACGAAAATATGTCATATAATTTCATAAAATAATTTAAACTTTTAAACTTAATTTTTTTAATATTATAGATGACATTAAAAATTTATATTATAAATTAATATTAATATTAATTATATAAATATTAATTAGATTATAAATTTATATTTTTTTATGGTTAATAATAATAATAACTTAAATCAAAAAAGTAAATTAAAATTAAAATTAAAAAACAATTAAATTTTAAAATATGAAAACGAAAATATGTTATATAATAATTAAAAGGAAATTGAAAATGCAACAAACCCTAAAATAACTCTCATTCGCCAATTCAATTGGCGAAATCCCACAAAATACTCTCTTTCGCCAAACCAAATGGCGAATCACTTGTGATGCTGTTAGCCTAATTCGCCAAACCAATTGGCGAACGTCTGTTAGCCTAATTCCAAACATTGCCATTTTGGTATTTTTTTTGAAATGTTAATTTGTTTGGTAAATAAAAATTAATACATTGCTACTTTAAAAAAAAATTCACTTTATGTACTACTATGCAGGACTATAAATTTCTACCTCCAATTTCTCCTGTCTCTCCATAAGCTTGTTTCTTGTTTATGCAGCAGTCGAAGCAGCATCCTAAAATCCGAAATCAGTTGGATATTTTTGGCTTATTGAAAAGAGGAAAACGAAAGACGAGTTGAAATTACCCCTGATTTTCTATAAGCAGCCATTATTTCTTCGGCCGTTCTGATTTTTGGCTTTACGTCATCGTTACTTCCACCTTGAAAGAGTTTCTCCCTATCGTTTTGTAACTATCTGCACGCGAAGGAGGATAAATGAAAGTTTAACTAATCTTTGTGATTAAAATATGAGATAGGTTCTTAAGTAATTTAATGTACCTTTTTGTTTGTTTTTAACATTGGGAGATGAAGTAGACGCTACGATTTTAGGCTCGTTAGGCTCGTCTATTTGAATGTCATCTGAACCAAAATAAAGCATGTTTTTGAGGTTTCCATTTGAGAAAACACAATGCAGTAAAAAAAATGAAGAGGCATTTCAGTAGAAAACCTATATCGAGCTCCACTTCTTTTTCATCGACCACTACTGCCGTTGGACGTGAATCAGGAAAGGGGGGCTTGAAAAAAATGTCTTCCAAATGACCGAAGTTGGAGGTTTGAATTTTATGCAAAACTGGTTGAGTGGTTTTTCCACCTTTCAATCCTTTGACAATACCGCCTAGAATCCCCGGTTTTGTTGTCTGCGGCAAAACAGTTAGGCTTATTAAACTGTTTTCCAGTGGCTGAAAACTTTAATGTCCAGAATGCAACAAATGAGAGAAACTAAAACCTGTTTTTTCTTCTGATTTGAAGAGAATGTAATAGCGGCATCAGCAGCAGCTGCAAGAACTTTATCGTGAAGACAAGGCAAATGCTCGAGACTCCTAAAACAAAATAAAATTGTTCGTTCAACCTTTTCAACCTTTTCTTCGTCGCATGCACATTTTGCACAGTAATTTACAGTGTTAATTAACTCTTCGTTACAGAATAACAAACATACCTGAATTCATTTTCGCTGGCTAGTAACGAGATGAATGCCAATTCAGAACCATTAGCCTGTAATTTATCAAAAGTTGCATGCTTTTGAGAGAATATCATTGACCATGAAATTCCTCACAGTTTTGAAAGTTTTCGAGAGTATTTTACCAGTACAATCTGTCCATTATCATCGGAACACATGGTTTTATCCATGTTCACTTTATAATTCCACCTTAAAATCGATAATAAAGAGCTTTCCGACACCAGTTCCAATCACAATTTATCAATTATACATAATAGACAAAACCAATAAATTTCGTACATATTGTAAAGTGAATTTAACTTACTAGAACTAGCGCTCTCACCTTATTTCAAACGTTCCGGTCTGAAGCAATGATAGAATCCCATAAACTTTGTCATCTTTCTGTAAAATTGTAGTCCAATAGAAAGATTTTGAATGTTCCACTTTTCAAATCGGTTTTTTATTTCCCTGTAAGAATATATCATACCGATCAAATTCATTTGCAGCAAGACTTACAATGTGAATACAAATTTTAGGCGATAAACTGATAGTGGAGTAGAAAACCTGCATCAATGCTTTTGCGGACAACAAATGCAATGAATTTTCACAGCAAAGCAGGACAAGTGGATCCAAAAGGACTTCCCCAGGTGGTGTGATTTCTGAAGAGGAAACTTCAGCCTCCAATGAATTTACCGCAGTTGAGCTACTTTCTTGCACAGGCTCTTCAGGGTGAGCACCGGCATTACTCTTCAAGGGTTCCTCGTGCTGCTTGTCATTTGATACTTCTGAGGTTGAGATGATATCATCTGGAGCACAAAAATCTATTAGAATCTATGAAGCACTGACATAGACACGGACATTGGACACAAAATTGGCCCGTCAATTGCGGTAATAATTTGAGAAAATGGAAATAATTGAATATAACCACGTGTGTTGGTGTCGTGTCAGTGTCCGACACCAGACACCTGACATGCCTTTAATCTGAAGTGTTCATCCTACATAACTTAGAATTTCCAATGACGTGCCAAGTGCAATAAAAATGAATCGATATTGTGTTCTTGATGATGAAATTTGTACTTGCCTATAACATACATTGAAATTGCAGTTGAAACCTTCACGTGGAACGGTCGACTCGAGATCGTTTTACCAGTATGGCCCTCATCTACATTAATTTTTCCATCCCTAGATGAGATAAATAGTATCTCTTCCTGAGATTCTACTGAAGGCGTTTCTAGTTTCTTGGGACTATTTACGGCACTTTGAAAACATGCTTGTTGTTTCCAAACCATTGAAGTAATCAGTGAGCTCGAGCTAGGTAGACCATCAATCAAGAACAAAACCGATAACAATTTCATATCACAGACTGCAACCTGGAAAGAAGCAATTGAGCAAAGAATAATCAGTTGAGAAATTTTGAGACATCTTCTTATGATTAAATTTGCTGACAAGAAAGGAAATGTGAATTAACTAGTCGATGATACCCACACGACCACTTAAAAATCCAATAGCCAGTTTGGTTCCAGAATTTGCAAAAGACAACGCTTGTACTGGAGAACTGAGAAGAGAAAAAATAGCACTACAATGAGGTCCTTTTCCTGGTGGGGCGTCATGAACTGCGCACAAGTTTCACATCATAAGTCACTGCTAACTTTTTTTATGCACAAATATCATAGCTTGGAACACAAGCTACATATATAGGGGGAAAATAAACTCGAACAAAGAAGATAGCCTTCTATGAAAATGACATAATAGATATTTTGACACTAAATCCGCACAAATAGAAAAATGAAAGAGCTCAAACGGAGAAAGTAGTCGTCTAGAAACGTGACAGAATAGATCACCTTCAGTTTTATTTTCTGTGACAAACTGGATTTTTTTTCCATCAGAGAAGTTTTTAAGGTCGTAAACACGAACCTGCAAAGTCATCACAGCCAAGGGTTAAGTATAGAATAATAATGCATTGCCTCAGATAAAGTAACCAATTAAGAAAGATTTCTGACAAGACCGCATTCATTGCCCACAGCCAGAAGTAGGGAAACAGAACAAAAGTCCAATTTCGTCACCGGAGCAGTTGACCCCGCCACTTTTACACCATTAACCTGTGAAAATAAAGTAACATAACAGTTTGACTTTGATAAGTTATCGTCGAATGTATGACTTTGGAAATGGTTATGATTAAAGTTAAACATTTTTAATAATCCGGCGATTATTTTGGGATAACAACATTGTGGAATTCATACCTCTCCTTCTATGTAGCCAACATAAGACAAGATTGGATGTGTGGCATCACACAAAAGAACAGATCCATTAGAATAACCCGCAAAATAAATTCTGTCAACTCCAACATCTTTAACTGTGGACAAGTGGCTGGGAACACCCCCGGTTAAGGGCCAATTTGCAAAGCTAGCTGAGCCAGGTTTTGTGCTAGTTTTCAGAATTGAGGCTACCTAAGATAAATGAAAAAAGAAGTTGAAAAACCACAAGATGAACAAAGATCGGAAACCGAGTTTTGCATAAAGTACTGGCAGACAAAAAATCACCTCAGCTAGAGTTTTCGATGACTTTAACTGACTCGGAAACTTGATGAGTTTTGCAACGGTCAAAGATGGATCAGCCATAGGTATTAGCACCGGAAACTCCTGTGAAGATACAGATGATGTCCTATTCTGCTGAGACAATAATGCAGACAAGCAAATATTATCGTAATAGTGTATTTGTCCAGGGTTTGTTAGCACAAAAAGATCATCTTTGCTATTCAAATCCATTGCTTCTAGACTTGGAAGTAAAATCAAGTCTGCGAAAGTTCCATTAAGTGTAAGGTCTGCACGACCGATGCATCTTAATGACTCCATCCCAGATGACCATTCAAGAGTTAAAACCTGTAATGACGAGACACGTTAAAGTTTATAGCACCAATAAAGATAAACTGAGTAAAAATCAGTTTAAAATGAAATGATAAACATTGATAACAAATAACTCACAGTCAAAGCTTCTTCCGAACCAATTTCGTCACCGCCATAGACAAACAACTGACCAGTATAATCGTTGTGAGATTTGTGATTATTGGGCCATTGTAAGACAATGACCGGGATTCTTCTTTCTGCGTTTGAAAGTTGTAGCCTAACAACGTTTTTAGAGGAAGTGGTTTGTTGACCTTTGGAAGGTACTGCAGATGACAAGTTCCAGAAAAGGATATCTCCGTCTAAGTATCCAACAGCGAGAATGAAGCCATCAGAAGATGCCCAGCAAAGAGCACTTATCTCTTTGTCTCCGAGATTTTGCTCTAAAATATCGGCTGGAAGATTGGTGTCCATTTCAGAAGTGTTACCACCGTCATCTTTCAATTCTAGATCCTTTCCGCCACCAAGGAACACAATTTTAGCTTCGGAAACATCCCAAAGAATCAGCAGTCCATCCTGAAATGCAATCAACAATCTGCAAAAACATAAAAATGTAGAATTCGTTCTTCGTCAAATCGAGAGTGATGAGCAATTTACACACTCTAACTGATTTTCGGTCTGATTTTTCAAAATCAGGCTGATAAGATAAATACCGATAAGTAGCTATCAAGTCAATATACCAAATTCAAGGGCAGAGAAGTAGACTTAGAAAAGCTCGGTGATGGAATTATATCTTGCCTGTTCCCAGAAGAATAAGGTTGCGATAGAATTCCGACAATTGGTTGATCCCTGGACTCTGGAAAACCGGCAGCTTCTATCAAAAGGAACAAAACAATAGTAATGAGTAATTCTTAAAGCAAAGAAAAACATTCTTACTCGGTGAAATTCAGTTCCCATTGAAGTTGTCCTTCCTCGGCGTCAAACTTTATCACAGAAAACAAGCCGTGCTCATCTCCGACATAACTGCACATTATAGTAGAGTAATAATATTAACAACCACGTAGCGTCGTAGTCATAACCATTTGCAAATGATTAGTAGCAATAACAGTGAAACAGACAGATGTACAAAATTAAAAGTAATTCCCTAACATACATGAAATGTGAGCCACTGATTACAGAGAAAGCGGTAATATTTGATTCCCATTGTAATGAACAAATAAGACCCCGAGTCTCAAGATTCCAAACCTGCCAAAAAATAAATTAAATGGTTTCCATTTAGCGATATAAATCACAACCTATCATGAGCAAAGGGAATCAAAAAAATCAATCACTTCACTGAGCCTCTATTAAGAAAAAGATGAGTTCTGAGATAAATCTTCAAAAATAAGAGTATTTTTTGAAGCGCAAATAGTGTCTAAAAAATCCAAAAGGTGGGAAAAGAAATTCTCAAATATTTTTATCCATGGGTCCAATTTTTGGGCCATGGAGTATAGTCCAACAATTAGGCCCAAGACCAGAGAAGCCTTTCTAAGATACGACGTCGTGGAAGAGCAAAGCATTTCCCAGAAGCAAATAGAAAAATGCGCAGTGTTGGTGAAATCTGAAAGTGCAACAGAAAATAGGGAAACATTGTTGCGACAAATCTGCCACAAGAAAGCAAAACGAAACGATGATTAGCATTCTCGCCCAGGTACTTCCTTAACCCAATCAACTATTGTCCGAATTTCAATTTAGGATTCTCTTTTCATGTCTTGTTTCAATAGGTGAGTTTTGATTTGTTGAAAAATGGTTATAATTCATAACACAGGAACGGTTATTGGGAGCTTCCCTGGGTGTAATATTGACGAGTGTGGTTGTATTTGAGCAACGCAGATACATCTTCGCTTCTATATCCGATTCCACATCTCACTCTCAGGTTAATTGTTTTTTTTAATGACTTTCTAGTGTTTTTCTTCTTAAAATGAAGAATTTATTGTTTTGGTAATCATGTTTATGTTTGTCTTTGTTCATGATATGATAAGTTTTCAAATGTTTGATTATAATGAATTTATCCTAACTAGCTGAAATCTATGAAGCACTAACACTAGACACGGGACGATATGACACTGACACATAGACCTCGGTAGTAATTTGAGTAAATAGAAGTGATTGAAAGTAACCATAGCTTTAGTGTCGTATCGGTCACACTCACTGAATCATTCGAGTACCATTCGGGTATTGAACACTCCTTCGATCTGAAGTGTTGGTTCCATATAAGCTTAACTCATTGATATTATATTTTGCATTTGAAATACTGGGTATTCATTCCATCAGTACCACAGCAGATTTGCACATTTCGTGTTTGATTTGCTACTTTTAGAGTCTAACCTTTCAGCTTTCATGTTCTACAGGTTAGAGAACCCATATTTGGGAAGAAATCACGTTCTGAATTTGCACATTCATGGAACAAAACTGTGGATCAGACATTTGGACCCTTGATCAAGTCTCTCAGCTCCCGCGGATGGTAGAGATGGTTTGAATTTTTAATACTATCTTTTGTGATGTGATATCAGAACACGCAGTAATTTATCTTTTTCTTTTACCTTCACAAATGTAATGTTTTCTGCAATACTCATAATTTCTGAATATTAGAAATTACTACTGTTACCTGATGTCAATAAAAACCACTAAATGATTCACTTACTGGTTATCATTGTACTAATATATGGTTCTTTTGCGCTTTCGAGTTGTAGGGGAAAAAGCTACATTGTGATTATAGGAGCATTAGTTTAGAAATTGCATAAAAATTGACCACATTGGGTGATAGATAAAATATATCTTGAAGAATAAGCCACTTCAATATTGTCTTATCTTTTGGTTCAAATTCTCTCAACAACAACGAGACATTATCTCACCAAATGTGGTTCAAATACTCTCAATTAGAAAAAAAAAACTTCCCTTTTGAAAATTCAAAATTCTACGGTTCAACAAGATTATATCATTGGATTTATCAATCTCTCTATTGGACAACCAGATAGCACATGACCAAGTCTCTCATGAGTTCGGAGATAAATCTTCAAAAATAAGAGGTATTTTTTGAAGCGCAAATAGTGTCTAAAAAATGACTCTGGCAAGGACGTGGTGGCCACTATATAAGCATATTTGGAAGCTAGTCAACCTTGTTTCTTAACATCGCTCAAGCTCTACCATGAGAAATCCAACAGCAAAGGCAGAGAATTATTGTTGATCAAAGACATGAAAGGCCATGGAGAATAGAGGAGTAGAGACAAAGAGAAGACAAAAGCAAATACATGAGATTCGTCCATGCATGCCTACGGTAAGACCACCCTTGCAATCACATGAGATTCGTCCCTTTGACCTGCCCTTCACCGTTAACCTCAATTAACCTCTCGTTAACTCACTTAATCCTTTTTATTTATTTAAATTAATTATAATCTAATCTAATCACCATTTTAACGTTAATTAAGCCACGTTAACCTTTGATTAACCTATTTAATATAACTATTTTAATTTCTTTTTATTATTCACCTTTTATTTAATAATCATCAATTTTAAACAACTCTTTACCATTTAACTAATCAACTTAATTAGTCCCTTCCTTTTTTATTAAAAAATATATAATAAACTTAATAATCTTTTTTAAATAAATAGTAGTATATCTTTTTGTTTTTTTTTCCTTCTCAAAATCCATTTCATATCTTAAAAAATAACTTTTAAAACATAACAATAAAACAATCCTTTTTATAATTAATTAACCTTTATCTTTTATAATAATAATTAAAAATCCATGTATTTAATAATAACTTTTCTCTAAAAAAAGCATCTTTTATTTAAAATCATTTTTATTTAAAATCTAGTTTTTTTAACCTCACTAAAATAATAATAATCAAGTAACCTTTCTCTTAAAATTAACCACCTAAAACTTTTAATAAAAATCAAATATAACTTTTTTTTTAAACAATTAATCCAACCATTTCCTCAAAGACAATCCACCTAAGAACTTTTATTAAAACTAATATAATCAACTAAAATAAACTCAATCAATCGCACACTTCACAATTCACATTCACACTTTCACACTTTCACACTTAGCGCTTTCATGCGTATATATGCTTTTATCTATCCGCTTTTATCCACAATGCACACATTCACTTAGCGTTTTCATGCGTTCGTGTATGGCTCTACTTTCCGCAATTTACAATTATCGCAATTTATCTTTCTCGCATCGCATTCCGTCCAAAGGAAGAATCTGCGCATGATCTCAACAATCGTGCGTATGCATCATTTTGCATCATTTTCCCACGTGATCCTTGATCCCATTCAAGTTGATCTCTAGGACAGATCCTACCCCATAGGAAGGACCTTTGTCTTTATCTTTACAACATAGGAAAACAATTCAACTTAAAACTATTCAAACACACTAGAGAAAGATGTTAATCATCTTAAGCGAGATAGAGTCTCCACCCCACAACAATACAATCTCTTACATTTGTGGCGGTTACATCTCTCTTAAGATGAAGACTCGTCTCTTCTCCTAGACCCAATCAACCAACTACCCTAAACCCGTAGGAACTTTGATCACAATCAAAGAACTCCTCAAACCCTTTAGGGGAACTACAGATACTCTAATTCCACTCCCGTAAGGATATGTAGGCATAAGATGCGATATCTTATCGAGTATACTTAGAAATAAACCCTTAGGTCTTTAACCTTAAGCAGATAACCATAGCAATAAACAAACAATAAAACAAGAGGTTTTTGTAGAGTACTACAGAAACTTAGGATGCTAGTACCTTCCCTAAGTTTAACCAGCCCCCGAACCTAAAACTCTCTAGCTTGCATTTGCATTGCATTGTGGGAATTTCGATCTTTATCCCTTCCTTTGGACAAATCAAAGTTCGGTTGCAAATTGAATTAAAGATTCAAACTAATTAATAGTTTGGTATCCAAATTTCACCGCGACAGAAATGGAGACTTCACTGGGGACACTTAGTGGGTTCCCCTATCTTTGTTTTATTATTGCTTTATATCTGCTTATGTGCTTATTTGTTTACTTATTTATTCTTTGTTTCTTTTGGGTTATCCTTGAGTGGTGAGACAAAGTCCTACACCCGGACTTGAGAGAAATTATGATAGGATGGTGATATATTCGATAAGGCTTATAGGGAGTGAGTCCCGGCTAAGTTGACTCGAGAATCCCGCTTAGTTGAGACCCTTTTGAAAATGGTTCGGTTGAACGAGTTTAGTCGTGAAAACTTTTACTATTCTCAATTGGAGTCCATGATACTAAGGACCGTAGTTACCTTTAACCCCACTTTGGCCTTTATTAGGATGTAGTGCGAGGCTATGAGGGAGTAAGTCCCGAAATAGCGTTACGCGATGCTGCACTCAAAAGAAGTTCTCTTGAGAATATTATTAATCCCCGAGTCAGTTGGGAAATTGGTAATATCCGAAAGATGGGCTAATGACTTTGGGAACCTCTTTAGAACCTTGTTCTGCAGGTACAATCAACCTTTAGTCCACGTCCTTTGGGAATGGGTATACCTTTGCTCCATGCTCGTTGTAAACCTAGGGTCCCCCTCGTTTGTTTATCCTTGTTTATATATGTGCTTACTTGTGTTTGTTGCATACATATGGCATCATACTACATTAGGTTTCATGGAATTCCTAGTTTATTTATAAACATTATAGAAATCAATAAAGGATTACAAAAGAAAATATTTTGAAATATTCTTTTAAGAGTCCTAACTTGGGTGGCCTAAGGAAGTAGTAGCTCAGATTGAAGAAAACTCAAAAGACAAATACAAGAGGCTTCCCTATCATGGAGGATCATTAGAAGTTCGAAAGACTCTCATTATCATCAAAGATCCAAGTAAACAAGGGATTCATTTCTCACCTTCCAACAAGAACAAAAGAAGAGATGGAGGATTTAGTTTCCTCTATCAAATTAATCTTTAGACGTCGATCATCAAAACTTATATTCAAGAAGATCCAAGTGGAAGAGCAAATCAACAAGCACGATGAAGGACTTCCTTAAGGCTTTTACTAGCTATTATGTCAGGACTCTTACAAGAATGTTTCCATGTAATCCATTATCAAAATAACAAATGAATTTTCTTTGGTATTCTGTAACGTTTATAAGAACTTGAGTTCCATGAACATTTCATTTCTGCATTTTTTTTTGCATTAACATTTAGCATCTTGCATATGCATGTGTCTCTTCTCCTCTGCGGCTCATCCGGTCTTCTGTCTTTGTCTGTCAGCTGACATCTCGACTGTCTGACCAAGCTTGAAGTACCACTAAAGGATAGTAAAGAGAACGAAAATATGGATTCTATGACTGGCTTCAGAATTGTGACTAATCCGTTGTTTGATGAAGATGTTCAGCAAATGGATGTCCCTACTCAACCTCAACCTTTGCAAGATGGCCTGGTCGTTCAAGCTTCCCAGCCTCTACAACCTGTACCTAATCTTCAGACTAGATTTATAGCAATGGAGAAAGAATTTCGTGATTTAAAAGAGCAAGTGAAAATGATGAAAGGAGCTGATGCATCTGATCTAGATGCTCATGACTTATGTTTAGTTCCAGGCGTAATTATTCCTCCAAAATTCAAGATGCCTATCTTTGAAGTTTACAAGGGTGTTAGTTGCCCAAGATACCATTTGACAATGTTTTGTCGAAATATGGCTGCTTATGTTAACGATGACGAATTAATGATTCACTGCTTTCAAGAAAGCTTATCTGGGGCGTCTTTTATATGGTATATGAAGCTACAAAGGAATCGTATACAGTCTTGGAAAGATTTAGCTAATGTTTTTGTGAAGCAATACAACTACAATTTGGATGTGGCTCCAGACAGTGACCAATTAATGAGCATGAGTAAGAATGACAATGAATGTTTTAGGGAATACGCGCAACGATGGAAAGAGTTAGCAACCCAAATTCATCCACCACTTCAAGAGAAAGAATTAAGCAAAATGTTTCTAAGAACGATGTCAGACTCTTAATATGATAGGATGATATGTGTTGTGCCTTGGGATTTCTCCAAGATTATAGAAGTTGGAGTAAACATTGAGAATGCACTCAAAAGTGGAAAAATTCAGGACAACTTGAATAACCAAGCTAATGAAGAAATTTCAGTTGATGACTCCCTAGAGGAAGGAAGTGTTGATGTCAATGCAGTTTGGGATTCCCCTCAAATCTTGCCAAATCTAGTTCCAGTACCTTATCCTCAACATCAGTATGAAGTGCCCGCTCAGCGCAAGCAGCGACTACCTCCTAAGTAGAAGTTGGCCTCTCCAGATCAACCACGGAATCGACGATTTCGGAGAAGGTATCAGAAGATGCCTCTGGATACTCCAAGAGAAGGAATTCAGCGGTTTGATCCCATCCCTGTGAAGTATTCTGATCTGTTTCCAGTTTTGATTCAGAAAGGTCACATCCAAACAAGATCTCCACCTAAAGTACCCGAGAAACTTCCGTACTGGTACAGAGCTGATAAATTTT